TCTCCGCGAGCGCTCCTAGAGAGAGAGAGAATTTTGCAGGTAGCTTGGCTGCCTGTTAGCTGAGAGAAGCAGCTATAGTCACTTTCGCCATGTGGGCCATGTGGGTGGTGCAGTCTTGTGGTATTCAGCAGGTTCTGACCAGTTCTGGAGAACTTGTAGCAGCTCTGCCTATAGGCCAGACAAGGAATAATGGATGGAAACTGAACAGGGAGAGATTTAACCTGGAAATAAGGAGAAACTTTCTGACAGTGAGAACAATCAACCAATGGAACAGCTCGCCCTTGGAAGTTGTGGGGGTGCCATCACTTGAGACTTTCAAGAAGAGATTGGACTGCCATTTGTCAGAAATGGTGTAAGGTGCTTGGGTGGGGGGTTGGACTAGATGACCTACAAGGTGCCTTCCAACTCTGATTATCTGTTATTTGTTATCTGAAGTTACTTCCTTGCTTTCTCTGATTTAAATTTCCAGCTTTTGGTCACTTTTTGGGGCTGCTCACATTTCCTTGCCTGAAACAACTCAATGAGAGGGAGTTCCTTTCTGATTTAATTGAAGTGTGGGAAGTCAAGAAATATGTTGACCACTCAAGAGATTATTGTACAATGAAAGATTAGATGTGCACATAATCCCCTCAGCCTGCCTTGTTACTAAACTCAGGAATGTTACTCTCAACTGTAACAATTTGCCCTTTCCTTTGGAAATAAATGAATGCTGTATAAATGTGGAACACAGCATTGTTAGGTGGTTTGAGAATTGGTGGCATTTTTTTCTCTGACATTCATTATCTCTGTCAAGAGAACCCTAAATCCTTCAGAAGCCCTTCTGTTTCAAAGTGTTCTACATTAGAAATGTTTCTTGTGTAAAAAGGATTGCAATTTTTTTCTACCTTAATTTCAGGATGATTGAGAATTAGAATGTCACTGACATTCTGTTATTGCACAAAAGAAATGTAAAAAGACAATTCTATTTCCTTCAATTGAATAAGAAGTGATTCAAAAATGCTGGATAATTTTTCTGCAAGGTAAAATGTCATGTTGACTGTGCTGGTTTTAAGCTTGCCCATAGTTTTCTGTTGGATAATTCTCTTTCCCTCCCTCCCTCCCCCTCCCTCCCCTCTCTCCTTGTGTGTGTGTGTGTGTGTGTGTATGTGCAAGCACAGATTCATGTACAAACATACAAACAAGTTCCTTTCTCAACCTTGGGTCCTCTAGCATTGGCCTGGGAGTCTGAGGGCTCTATGCAGTATCTTAACTGTTCCTAGCATTGCATCTTCTGCACCAAGAGCTATGATATTGTTCCTGAGATCTGTTGGGGCCCCTCTCCCAGTTTAGAAATCACAGTCCCAAGTGCTCCTACCACCACTGGGATCACTTTGGCCTCTACTTTCTACATTCTCTCCAGTTCCTCCTTCACACTCTGGTACTTTTCCAGTTTCTCATTTTTCTTTTGTTCCTGATGTTATTGTGGCTTGGCACCACTACATTTATCACTATTGCTGTCTTCTGGTCCTTGTCTATTATCACAATGTCTGGTTGATTGGCTAGTATTTGCCTGCCTGTCTAGATCTGGAAGTCCTACAGTATCTTAGCCCTGTTTCCAAACTTCTTTCTCTTTCCTGGTGTGATTCAATCTGTTTGAGAGCTCACCCCTATTTTCAAAACTCATTAGTCAAAGCTTCAACCAAAGGTATTGCCCTGACATCTTAAGTTTGTACTTAACTGCTGTGATTGTGCCAGATAAATGTTTGTGAATCCTCACAGTTTCCAAGATTGCTGTCATCATCTTGATGACATAAATGTAGGACTTTGATTGGTGCCTCTTGGAAACCTGGAAGGTAGATCTGAAGAAACAGGTTAAAATCACTCATTTGGCTTTTTTTGAGAGTTGTTTCTTGGGGGAAAAAATTAATGAAGGGAAGGAATTGTGGAACACCTGATGGTTATAGAAATTCTAAAAGCACCCAGTTAGCCATGTAATCAAAGACAATCATCTAATGTACCTCACTTGCTGCTTCTCTTATTTTCCATTCCCATTAACTTTTTTTCCTAGTTATCTAAACCTCCTCTTGGATGGGTCTTATTAAGTCATAGTTGGCAATCACAGAAAATTTTTTACAGAGTGCAGTCCTTCTCTGTCAAATGCTATGGATTAAAGTGTGGAAACTCACTACATTTGAGCAATTAAATTAGAAGATGGTTCAATCAAATAACCCCACAGCAGGAGATTCATAAAACAGCACGGAGCTTTTATTTATTTAGTGATGACACTTTAGTCCAGCTGCTTCTCTGGCCTTTTAACGGCTTCTATACATTTTCTGGCTTTCAGGAAAAGTGGTTGGCTAAAGTGGACTGGACTTATGTTGAGACAAAGCATGTTATCTTCAACATCTTACTTTGAGAATTGAGGGTGATGCTTCCAATGCTCAGAACAATGTTCTTTGTACAGGAATATTACATATGCATCTAACTCACAAAGATAGTGTCATATCTAGCTCATATCTTGGACTTGTTGAAAAACAAGTATTCTTCAACCTCATTAAATGTTTTCCCTTATTTAAGTCATTGGTTGGCAGCAGAATGTTTAATGTTTTACCAAGGTCCTCAGCCTTCTAATATTTCCTGTTCATGAACTTAACGGTTTTTATGGTCAGGAAACTTTTCCTTTTTTTTTTTTTGAGTTTAGATCTTCCTCTGTAAAGTGTCCACCTTCTGATTTTTGTTCTACTCTCAGGTATTATGGAGAATAAACACTTCCCTGGGATATTACTCCATTTTAACTATTCTTATTAGGATTCAACTTCTAAGTTCCTCATTATCTTGGGTGTTCCATGGAATAGAGAACAGTATTTATTATCAAGTGCCATGGTGGCACAATGGTTAGAATGCAGTATAGCTGGTTAATTCTGCCAACTGCCAGAAATTTGATTCTGACTGGCTCAGAGTTGACTCAGCCTTTATCCTTTGGAGATTGGTAAAGTGAGGACCCAGATTGTTGGAGATAATATGCTGACTCTGCTTAGAGAGGGCTGTAAAGCACTGTGAAGTAGCATATAAGTCTAAGTTGCTGTGATCAGCACAGCATTGATTAGTATTTCCCATCATCTTAATAGTGTACTTATTTTGATGCAGGCCAAAACTGCATTACCTCTTTTGGCAGATACAGCATAGTTCTGATTCATTTTAATCTGTCATCTACTAGCATGCCCAATTCTTGTCACTAGTATTAACGCCAAAATTTGTACCTGTGCAAAGATTTTTCCTACCTGAGTGCAAAACCTTACATTTCTCACCATTGAACATACTATCAGGGCTCCAGTAGTTACCCCCATTTAAATCATGAGTCTCTAGCCAGATTTTCAAAACTTATTAGGAGTAAACATGCCAGCGCTGCCTGGGTGTAACCGACTCTGAGATACATCATTCATTGTCACCCTTGACCCTGGTTTTCCCCATCCCCTGGGTGTAATATAATTCATATTCTCCAGTGGGACACATCCATAGCCAAGAGTCATCAATCATACTCTTCAGTTAGAATTTTGCGTGGCAGAAACTTCGGTCACCTAGAAACTATCTTTGAAAACATTTATGGAACACAAGTTGCCCACTGCTCCCCACTCCCTTTCTGTTGGCAACTCTAAAAAGACCATATACTTATTTTATGAGTTGTCACATATTTTTATTGGATAAAGCCAATGTTCAAGTCTATCAATTTCTACATTTTTATAAATTGTATGAGTGATAGAAGAGATGCTGAGGACAGAAGAGATGTGCAGAGGACACAAAGCTGGGGATGATTGTTAATACCTCAGAAGATCGGTTTAACCTTTTGAATGTTAAACTGATCTCCTGAGGTATCAACATCATCCCTAGCTTTGTGTCTTCTGCAAATCTGAATAGCATCTCTTCTATTTCTCATCTATACTGTTGTAGTTGAGCAATGAGAGGCTAGACTAGGGCTTGGATGCAACAAGACTTTATTGTAGCAATAAAGGACTGAACGTGTTAGCCCTGCCTGGAGCAGGCTCACAGCGATCAGCGGCTGGCCGGACCCTGCAGCTGGCTTTTATAGCCGGCCGTCGAGGGAGGCCAGCCAATGAGGGGCAGCAAACGCCCCCGCAGCATGAACGGACCTGGGTGGGGACTTTGGCAAGTTCCAGGGACATAACACCCCTTCCCCCCAGATGCGAACACGCATAGTCACTTAAATAAGCGGGCAGTCTGTGCTGGCGCCCCGAGCGCCGTAACTCCAGTGAGTTACCAAGTGTCTCAGAGTTCAAGGCACCCAGTGGGGTTGGTAATGGGGTGCAGCCTCGCCCTGAGGGTTGCACAGGCACCGGTGTTGTGCTTCTGTTTGGTGATGTCGTGGCCCCATCTACTGGTTCTGGTGGCGGACTCGTTGGGCAGTCCCGGTCTACTGCCTGCTCCCCTGGTCCGGGCGGTGGTGGTGGAGCGATTCTGGCGTGGTCTTCGGTGGGAGCTTGGTGTGGCACCTGGGGGTCGACCTGAGCCCACGATCCGACACTGGCGAAGGTACCCTGTCGCTTCCTTAGCTGGTCCAGGTGTCTTCTCCAGATGCGGCCGTCTTCCAGCTGTACTCGGTACGACCGGGGACCGGTGATGGCTACTATCACTCCTGGAATCCACAGTGGGTCTCCGGCATAGTTCCTTGCAAATACATGTTCCTGCAAGACAAAATCTCTGACCCCCGTCATTGAAGCGAGAGGGGTGTCAGGGCAATAGTGAGGGTGGAGCCTATCCAACACAGTTCTTAGGCATCTACCCATCAGCAGTTCAGCAGGGGATTTGTTGGTGACCATGCAAGGGGTCGAGTGTTGGCTTAGCAAGAAACGGGAGAGTCTGTGATGCCAATCTTCTTTGCTGAATCTGGCTAACGCTTCTTTTGTGGATCTAACGGCTCTCTCCACCAGTCCGTTGCTGGCAGGATGGAAGGGAGCCGTGAAGATATGTCGGATGCCAAGATTTGTGGCAAAATGGCTAAATTCTGTTGAGGCAAACTGGGGGCCGTTATCCGAAACTATGGTATCTGGTAGCCCGTGTGTTACGAATAGGCGAGTTAGAGCCTTGGTAACTGCTAGCGTGGTGGTCGTGGATAGTTGGGCCACATCGATCCATTTAGAGTATGAATCAACGACCACCAAGAAGGTTTTGCCGTGTATTGGACCCGCTAAGTCAATGTGTAGCCTTGACCAAGGCACGTTGGCGCTCTCCCACTTTGTGGGGGTGGTGACTGGAGGGGATGGTCTGGATTCCTGGCAGGGTTGGCATGAGCTTACCCACTTGACGATGTCGTCGTCCAAACCAGGCCACCAGACATAGCTCCATGCCAACGCCTTCATCCGGACGATGCCCGGGTGGCCCTCGTGTAGTGCCTCTAAGACTGGTGTGCGAAGTGAGGCCGGAATAACAACCCGGGTGCCCCACAACAGGCAGCCCTGTATGCTAGACAGCTCCTGTTGACGGGTCTTAAAAGGTGTGAATTCGGCTGAGAGGTTAGAGCCCGGCCACCCCCTCCTCACCCAGTCCAGTACCTGGGCGATGGTTTTGTCCGTCTTGGATTTGGTGGCGATGTCGAGGGCGGTGACAGGAAGGTCGAGCTCGGTGACATCGAAGATGGCATGGACCGGGGCTGGGTCTTCTGCTGGAGCTGGCAGGGGGCAGCGGCTGAGGGCGTCTGCGTGGCTTAGCGTTTTTCCTGGGCGGTGGATGAGCTTGTACGAATAAGCCACCAGGAACAAGGTCCACCTCGTCATTCTGGGAGACAACACTTGGGAAGTCTGCTTGTCTCCGGAAAGAAGACCCAGGAGAGGCTTGTGGTCCGTGATTAGCTCAAAGTTGTGGCCAAACAGGAATTCATGAAATTTCTTAACCGTGGCCACTGCGGCTAAAGCCTCCTTGTCGATCTGACTATAGTTACGCTCTGTTGCTGAGAGTGTTCTGGAAAAGAAGGCAATTGGTGCCTCGGAGCCGTTGGGTAGTCTATGGCTTAATACGGCTCCAATCCCAAAAGGGGATGCATCCGCGGCTAGTACCAGTGGGAGGTGTGGGTCAAATTGAATAAGGACCGCGTCAGATGTGAGCAGTGATTTGACTGCGCGAAAAGCGGTGTCTTCCTTGTGTCCCCAGTGCCAAAGTGCTTTTTTATCTAAGAGCCTGTGTAAAGGCTCTGCTACTGATGCTTTGTGAGGTAGAAATGATGCATAAAAGTTCAATAATCCCAAAAAGGCTTGTAGCTCGGCTTTAGTGGTTGGCGTGGGTGCCTCATGAATTGCCTTGACCTTGGACTCTAGGGCGTGAATGCCTGAGGCGTCAATTTTATAGCCCAGAAAGTCCACCTGTCTAGTGGCAATGGCACATTTCTCCTTTTTTAATTTGAGGCCATGCTGTCTGAACCTGTCTAACACTGCTCTGACTCTCTGGAAGAGTTGGGGTCTGTCCCTGGCCGAGACCAATATGTCGTCGAAGTAGGGTACTACGCCAGGGAGGCCCTGTAGTATACGCTCCATGAGGGATTGGAAGATGCCCGGGGCAACACTTATGCCAAACTGGAGACGCTTGCACCGGAATGCACCCCTGTGGGTCACAATGGTCTCAGTTCGGCTGTTTGGTTGTCAACAGGGAACTGTTGATACGCTTGTGACATGTCCAATTTGGCAAAAATGTTGCCAGGCTCAAAGGTATGTAATAAATGTTGAATGACCGGTACTGGGTACGCGCTAACTTGTAGAAAGCGGTTGATTGTTGTTTTGTAATCTGAACAAATTCTCAGGCTGCCATCCTTTTTAAGGGGTGTGACAATTGGCATCTCCCATTTGGTGAAGTCTGTCGGCTCAATGATCCCTTGCTTTAACAATTTATCGAGCTCTGCGTCTAGTTTAGGCCGAATGGCGAATGGGACTCTGCGCGGTTTCAGCCGGACTGGAACCGCTTGGGGGTCAACTGCAAATGATATGGGGGTACCATTATAACACCCTAACTCATTGCTGAATACGTCTGAGTAGTCATTGAATAAGGAGTCAGTGTCAGAAGCTGAGACAGCATGGACTCCTGTTAACCCTAGGCCGAGGTAGGGGAACCAATCAAGCCCCAGAAGACTGGGGAGGTTGCCGTTAACTACCACTAGAGGCAGGTGGCCTTTGAAAGCTTTAAAATTAACAAGGAACTTGCCTTTGCTGAGTACTGGAATGTCTTTTCCCTGATAATCCCTCAAGGAAATCTGGCACTTCTGGAGCTGGTTTCTGGATAGCCTGGGCTGGATTCTCTTGAGGGTGCTCCAAGAGATGATTGAGAGCGCTGACCCCGTGTCAACCTCCATACGACAAGGTTTACCTTCTAATAAAATGGAGAGTGTTATTTTACTAATAGAGTGACAGGTGTGGTTATCATGGTAGCAAGTGTGACAATTTAGTACTTGCCTTTGGGACCCAGAATGGGAAAAAGAAGGAACCTTTTGTGCTGAGTTGTGCGCGGCCTGGCAGACTCTAGCGATGTGGCCTTTTTTGTGGCAATGGTTACAGATGGCACCCTTGAATTTGCACGTAGCTCTCGAGTGAGGTCCGCCACAGGATAGGCACAGGATGATGTGTTTGGGTGCGCTGTTGGTTTCTTGCCTGGCTCCTGCCTGTGGTTGTTTGGCATGGGTGAGGCGGTGGATGTCTGTTTGATCGTTAGGGTTGTCTTCGTTGACTACCTCTTCTGAATGAACTGTGGCGCAGCTTTGTTTGGGAACGGGACCTTGAATTTCAGTGGCGGACTGGGTTGCCAGCTCTGCTGCCAAGGCTTCCTCGACGGCCTGGGATAGGTTGAGGTCCTTCCTGGCGAGTAGTCGCCTCTGGAGGTGAAGGTCTTTGACCCCGCAGACGAGCTGGTCGAGGAGCATGTCATCTAGATAGTTCCCGAACCCGCAGTGGAGGGCTGCAGTCCTCAAGGCGGCCATATATTGATTGACGGTTTCCTTTTCCGCTTGCTTCCTCATCTGGAAGGTGAAACGCCTCGCGATTTGTGAGGGTCTGGGGGAGTAATGGTTGGTGAGAATCTCTAGCAATTCTGCCCAGGGGACATTCTTTAACTCACGTGGAGCGACGAGTGCTGTGGCGGTATCAAAAACGATGGCCCCACAATAACTGAGGAAGAATGACTTTTTTCTGTGCTCCCCAGCATCAGCTAGACTGATAGCGTCGATGTAGTGGTTAAAACGATTCTTGTATGACTCCCATTTTTCTTCTTCCGGCTTGAACGGTGGGAAGGCTGGGTTGGAGTTCATGATGAGGACTCCTGCGTGATATGCTGTTGAGAAATCTCTCTGGGACAACAAAATGGCACTTGTGCTCTTGTCAGGCTAGTGACTACAGCTCTGGAGAGACTCCACAGACCTCTCTGCTCTCTCTCTGGGCTACAATTGTGGCTAAGCTGCAACGGCTGTTGGCAGCGTTTTGAAATTCGCGCTCCTGGAGAGCGTAGGCGGTGATGGCTTGCCGCCTCTGATAGCGCTTTGAATTTCGCGCCTGCGTAAGTGTCAGTAACTCGGAATAACAGCACCGCGCTGTATTCCGGCAAGAAATCCCAACGACAGCCGTTTGAATTTCGCGCTCTTTTTGTGCTGAGCGGCTGCGGCTCGCAGCGCTTCACTTTCCCCTGTAGCTTGCTAACAAGCGGCTACAGACGCTATTACTTTCGCTCTTGCTGACCGAGCTCTCCGGCGGCGCGGCTGCGGCTCAGCGGTTTTAGTGATTTCAGCTGTTGCGAATTGCCTCTGGTAGCCATCCCATCCTCGTCGCCAGTGTTGTAGTTGAGCAATGAGAGGCTAGACCAGGGCTTGGATGCAACAAGACTTTATTGTAGCAATAAAGGACTGAACGTGTTAGCCCTGCCTGGAGCAGGCTCACAGCGATCAGCGGCTGGCCGGACCCTGCAGCTGGCTTTTATAGCCGGCCATCGAGGGAGGCCAGCCAATGAGGGGCAGCAAACGCCCCCGCAGCATGAACGGACCTGGGTGGGGACTTTGGCAAGTTCCAGGGACATAACATATACAATTTATAAAAATGATGAACACTGAGATTAGGACAAAACCTTCAGACAGCCTAGTAGATTTATCTCTCCTTGTGGACATCAATCTAATGAATGACCTTGTGTTAGGTACTATTGATCAGCCAACTGCAAATTCACCTGGTAGTGAGACTATTCATCCCACCTTATTCCATTTTATCAATCTTTATATCAAGTACCTTACTGAAATTTAGAGTCACAACATCCTTCATCTATTACTCTAGTCGCTTTGTTCTCCACCCCCACAGCAATAAAATGTATCTGATCTTATCTGATTTTTAATAAACCTGTGTTGATTTCTAGCAGTGTTCATGTATCTTTCTAAATATTTGCAAACCCACTGCTTGAAGGTTTTTAGATTTTTCAAAGGTATTGATGTCCTGCTGATTCACATGTAGTTTCCTGGACCTACTTTTTTCAGGATTTTTTAAAAAGACTGAAATAATATTAGCTCTTCTCCAGTCTTCCAGCACTTCTCCTATACTCCAGGACTTCTTAAATGCTACAGTCAATGGTTCTAACATTCAACTTTAGCACTTTCATATGTAATCCAATAACCCCATTGAATTAAACTTAGTTTAGAGAACTACATGTTCTCTTGCCATTTCTGTCCCTATTTTGAACTGCATTTCTCATCTGCCCCCAAGCTGAAACTTCTAACTGGTTAGATCACTTTTTCCTTTTAAAAAAGGCAGATGGAAAATGCCCTTTATTCTGTAATAGTTTTCTGATGTTTTAAAAAGCAATTTCTTCTGCAAAATATATGAGGAAACCTCTAAAAACTCTGCTCTATGTTAATTAAGGCTTTAAGTTTAATTAAAGGATCACTTTAACTAAAAGATAAATCACTTAAAGAATCACTGTTTCCTACCCTTTTTAACATGAATCTTTCACTACATCCTGCTCCCATTTTTCTCTCCCTTTCTTATTACTGTAGGTGCTTTAAGGAAGGAATCTGCTTTACTGTACACCAAAGATGCCATAGGTAAAAAATAAAAGTTCTGTATTTGTCATCCATGATTGTGTGTAAGTACATGTGTAAGTACATATGCAGTGAACTCATAGGGTGTGTTCTGGAATTTCTCATATTTTCATGCCAAATACATTTTTCATCTATGCCTCAATCAACCAAAGATTTTAATTGTTCTCTGTGTGATTTCCTAATCACTGGAGATAATGCTTAGAATTCAACTTCAAGAAAATATTTTGTAATATTAAACAATCTTTCTTTTCTTTCTTCTCTCCCTCTCTTTAAAAAAGAAGGTGAAAGTTCCCTGAATAATGAATGAAATGACTGTTCTAAGCAGCCTATGCTGATAACACATGACAGAATTTACTAAGTTTTAAATGTAGGGTAAGGGAAAGAGAAGACAGACTAAGGACAATTGAATAATATATTTCC